ACCTGACCTTGAAAGGTAGGAGGTTCAAACTTGCACACCATGTGTAAAATTGATAAGGGAATAGTCATACCAAATTTCGCGGCGCTACGCGCCGCGGTTTTCCCGCTATTCGCGAAAAACCTCAGGGGGGGGCGGATATCCGCCCCCCCCGTCGGTGCGCGGGTTAAGTAAAGTTGGGTTCATGTGGTGACCCTTGGTGACCTGACCTGTGAGCTGACCTGGTATGACCAGTGACCTCTAATAGCAACGTATGTACTAGACAACTGACGGCTTATCGCTGATTTTCGACAAAATGCGTTTTACTCGGTGTTATAGCGCTTTCCCTAGAGGCCCCGTGAACGGTGAAACATTTTATCTTTGACCTGACCTGTGACGTCATCGGTGACCTCGAGGTCAATGAAGTTTGGTTTCCCTCAACAAATTTGACAGGGCTATCGAACGCCGTTTGAATTTTCCGGATCCGTTCAGTAGTTTCGGAGATACGAGGGGGGGGGGGGCAAAAAATGCCCCCCCCCCCACCGCGCGGAAGGTGGCTGGGAGGCCCACCGCCTGCCGGGTTAACCAATTTTGAAATAATTACTGCCGATCGATGCAGAATGAACCAAATATTAGCATGAATCATAAATATAACCATTTCGAAAAATAAAAGGCGGATACAGGTAATCGAATTAGGAAGCACACAAAATGCAACATAAATCGGTTTCTTTGTTGGTGATATCACGAAAACGTGTTGGCAATAGTCTAATTATGTTACAAAAATGCGTGATAAAATTACTCAAATTAATTTGAAAATTCATAGATGGCGTTAGGGTACCGAAGTTGGCAGGTGAAATCGATCTCCCTTTCTTTTCCGGGGTCCACCTATGATCCACCTGGCACCTCTTGTTCACTTGTGAACCTACAAAAAATGTTCATTTCAATCGCTATTGCATTTGTTATTTTACACACTTAAAGTCATGATCTGAGTAGAAAATATTCGCTGTGTGTACACTTTCCATACTTTCCATGTAATTACTTTCCAATACCTTCCAACATTCACTGGACGCGCTTAGATATCTTTTTAATAGCTTGCAAGTGTTCCAGAACTTAACTGAATTGAGTCACTCCAGGACAATCTAACTATTACCAAGCTGCTCATCAAATGCTACGTTGCGTATCAATATCACACCCCTTTTTTGGACGCCTAGATCGTGCTATTATAACCCTCGCCCTGGCAGGGCATTTTTCGTAACGCGGCCTGGGGGGGGGGGGGTGATCCGACCTCCTGGCGTTTCGAAACTAAGCGTCGTAGCGCTTCCCAACAAAGACAAGTCGATTGCTCTTTACGAGTATTCGCGACTGGTGATACCTATATTTTTATCCTAGGTCAATATTTGACTCCGTTTTGGCTAGTCAACGATCAAATTACGGGGAAAAGCTAAAATTTTCCAAGCTACCTATTTAGCCAATAATGGCAAATCTATGAAAGATATCAACATGAAACTTTCACGACCGTGTTTCTCAATGAATTAGCAACAAAATGATGCATAGTTCACTGCAGTTCAGTCATTACTGGCGTGACATAGTCCCCGGGAACACGAGAGTCACACCCGCCGCTGGCGAGGACTGTCCTAATTGACCTGAGGTGACCTTGTAAAGATCGAGGAACAATTTTGAAAGCATTTAGATGAAGATTGAACCACAGATTCGGATTCAGGATCTCAAGAAACCCTACTAAACACAGACATGCGAGGTCAATGACCTTTGTTGACCTTAGAAAGGTCAATATACGATGTAATGTTTCATGTCCTGTCAAAATCTGACATAAGTCACAGAATAATTTCGTTCATGTCGATGGGATCGCGTCCAGTTACGCCAGATGTACGATTTTGTCAAAAAGAGTCGGAGGTTTTACCTATTGTGAGGTCATAGCTCGGTGACCTGACATGACCCGAAAATATTTTTACCGAAAGATTGAGCTGAAAGTTAGCATGTAGGTACGCACCCACTAAGCCATGCATTGCATATCCATGTGCCAGATTTGGGGTGCTGTTACACGTGCGCACGCGCAGGGGTCGATTCCAGATCTCGAAGACGGCTGGACCGATTGCGCTCAAATTTGGTACACGGTTAGGGAGCAGTTGGTAGGGTGCCGTGCAAAAGTCAGTTGGGACCCAGTTGGCACGTGCGCACATGCAGGGTGCCGCTTCCAGATCTCGAGAACGGCTGGGCCGATTGCGCTCAAATTTGTCACATCACTAGGGACCGGTTAGTAGGTCTTGGGGTGCAGTGCACAAGTTATTTGGTGGTACCCCCTCGCAATTTCGCACGTGCAAGGCCCACCCTCCCGCTCACTCCGTTGGTCGCCCCAAAAGGTGTTTTTACTGGTGTGCACGATTACTTTATAAAAATGCTGAAGTGTTGCAAGTAATTGACAAATATTGTCCAAAGCATGCTGCCTTTGTCCAACCAAATTCCGATTTGGGCATAGGACAAAATCGGAATTCTGAAGGTACAAAATACAATTGGCACCACTCTAACAGATGTGGTAAGGTTGTGATAGGTTTTACCGAACGGAGATATAGACGATCTGTCAACTGACGAGAGAAGCCAAACTCTGTCAACTGGCTGGTGTGCAGCAAGCAGATATTGATATTCTGCAACGGTTATTTTTGTTGTTGTTTTAATCTTTCTTCAATAAGGTACCTATGTTAGAGCTGTTGTGCCTATTTGTTAATACATCAAACAACATCGGTGATAGACAGATAACTATTTCATGGCGTGCAAAGAAAGACTGTTCAAGTTACCCAACGGTCGGGTTATTTGAATACACCGTCACTTGACGGAGAAGCAAGGCTTTACTTCACATTTTTCAAAAAAAAAATATGTTCAACTTGAAACTTGATGCACTCTATGGCAATGACTCTTGTCAAGTTGTTGGAAAAGTCAAGGCTGTTCAAGTTGTTCTTAGGACAACAAAAATTTATTTCATTGGCTTCCACTCGCCAAACCCGCTTTCCCTATAGCTCAATCAAGGGATGAATCACTGGGTGGTTCTTTCGACCCCTCCTCACCCTCCTGCAATTGAAGTTAGCCGTTGGCAAAGACACTAATTCGTGCAAGGGTTCATTTTCACTTGTCCTTTTAATGTAATCGGTGACTTAACACGCGCAGTGGAAGGGGGCGGATTTCGCCCACCCCTCCTGTTTTTCGCCAATAACTCGCGCCGCAAGCATAATATCAATGTGAAATTTCGGCTACCTGTCCAGAATTGAATTGCGGATCTTGTCATGCAAGAGGTAAGAAAATCGGTTCACAACTTTTCTAGTAATAGCGGTGTAAAGTCAAACATCCTGCCGCCGCGGCGGCGCGGCGGCGCGGCGGCCGGCGCTAGCCGTTACGCGCCGCCTGAATTGTAGACTGTGCCGGGGCGGGACGGTTCCGTCTTTACATCGCGCTCCTTACCGCTGGCGCTGATTACATTAGATTCGCGTCAAATTCGGTGAGAAGACTGAGAAATGTACAGGCAATCACATGGTCAAAGAATTTTGGAAATCGGCCAGTAACAACTTAAGTTATGAGTGTGTAAACACAAAATTGTGATTGCCGCGTTTCCCGCGTCGGCCGATCCCGCTTCAGCCGGCGACATCTTACCCTTAGCAGGCTTCTAACTGCCATATTTATTGTTGGATTATCTAGAAATTCACCATACATACTCACAAATGTCTGTTCTTTCGTATAGTGAAAAATTGAAGAAAATCGGCCGGTAACTTTTTGAGTTATCGGCATGTAAACGCAAAAAAAGTCGCTAATATGGCAGATTTGACCACATTTGACCTCATTTGACCTTGAAGATATTGACCTAGGGTCATGAAATTCACACACAACAGAGTTCCCTATAGCCTCCACCTACCCTCTAAATTTCGTCTTTCTAGCTCCAGTGGAGGCTGAGATCTTAGGGGGGCGACATCCGCCCCCCCCCTTCCACTGGGCGTAGTACTCGCAACCCTTCCACTGCGCGTGTTAAGCCAGCAGGCCAAATGGACAAAAATCCATACAAACCCAGGTGATGCCACGGGCCCACGGCCCTCATCCTTGTCAGCGTCCACTCCCTCGGCGGCGGCGGCGGCGGCCCGCCGTGCCGTGCGCCGCGGCATGTTACCTCTCGCCGCGCCAGGGGCCGCGGGGCGGGACGCTACCCCCCGCTGCGCCAGGCGATCCCCGGGCCTGGGCACCGCCGCGACGGGCGACGGACGACAATAGAGCAAACAAAGGATGGGGCCGCCAGTCAGCCGGCGTAGTGAATGGGTAAATCCTTACTCGATAATACAGCAGGGACTGCTCCACGAACACGGGCAGGCCGTACGCTAGTAGACATTCGATGGAATAGGCGATTCGGGCGTAGGTCAGCCGGGCGTAGGTCACCCGGGCGTAGACATTCGATGGAGTAGGCGATTCGGGCGTAGGTCAGCCGGGCGTAGGTCACCCGGGCGTAGACATTCGATGGAGTAGGCGATTCGGGCGTAGGTCAGCCGGGCGTAGGTCACCCGGGCGTAGACATTCGATGGAGTAGGCGATTCGGGCGTAGGTCAGCCGGGCGTAGGTCAGCCGGGCGTAGACATTCGATGGAGTAGGCGATTCGGGCGTAGGTTAGCCGGGCGTAGGTCAGCCGGGCGTAGACATTCGATGGAGTAGGCTATTCGGGCGTAGGTCAGCCGGGCGTAGGTCACCCGGGCGTAGACATTCGATGGAGTAGGCGATTCGGGCGTAGGTCAGCCGGGCGTAGGTCACCCGGGCGTAGACATTCGATGGAATAGGCGATTCGGGCGTAGGTCACCCGGGCTGATCCCAGCAATACCTCCTGGCCAGGCTTTACGAGCGCGGTCACTGAGACCGTCCACCGCGCTGGCGGAGCCCCGCGCGCCGCGCTGCACTGCCGAGCTTGCAGCGCGCGCCGTCGAGCTGTCGGCGGGCAGGCCGGTCGTCGTCGCCGACGTCGGCAGTCGACGCCGACGAGGCTAGGGGTGCGCCGCGTCGCCGCGCCGTGCCCACCGTGCTCGTCGTGCCCGGGCGTGCTCCGAGGAGATCGTAGGTGTTGTATTTGTCTGTCTTGAAGACAATCTGTTAGTACACTCACTGCTCCGGCAGCCGTTGCTGTTTGGATGTGAGCCGTTGCTTTACGAGTGACTGTTTCAAAGCTGCGGGTGATCTTTGGGACTTAACTCTTTCCGACTCTCACTCATCATATTTTGATAGCGGACAGTTACTGCTGAAGCAACTCATCGTCTTTGTGAACTAATCACGTGGATAATGATTTTGACAATTGTGGTTTACGGCTGACCAACTCTGTGCCATTGAAGAACGATCGAACGGTGCTGTGGAGCTAAAATACCGCCTATGCTCCGAACAATGGCAAAGAGAATCGGGTCTCAGGCAACGGCTTCGTGCGGTCTCTTGGCGCTGCTTTGTTTTGGCCTACTACCAACTGGTGAGTACGTTGACGTTAATTTTAAGCAGAAAGTGTGTGAACTGGTAACACTGTCAAGTTGATGATGTAAGCTATGAATGAAGGTAAGTTGTCAGTGATGACCTACATGGTCATGCATTTTGCTTGGCGTGAAAGCATATTGTATGCCTTCCATGTCGTGACATTGGTCTTAATTTCGTTCACCGCATTGCCACGTTGCATCGAATGAACTGATTTTTTTCCCTAGATAAGTTGTAAAATACATCCATGTTCTACCCAGAAATGAATATTATATCGGCAACAGTAAGCTAATATGGATCAGCCCAGTCTCGAGCCGCTGACAAGTTAGTTAATTAAAATATGTTGAGCAGAGAGACGGCAGCTGGCGCCGGGTGGTGCCCACGCCAGCTGGGAACTCTGCTCCTCCCTCCCCACCCTCACTTACACCCAGAATAGCGCAGACCGTTGCTTACAAACATCGACGAAAGCAAATCCCAGCTCTGAGGCCGTCTCCCAGTTCGCTGACCTCCCACTCCCCCTCCTCACGCCCTCTGCCCCGCCCCTTCTGTCCGGCCGACTGGCCCGTCCGCAGAATAATGCTTTCAACGCTGGATTTGTGGACCACTTCGAGACACATATGAGAGACAGTAGCGGTAGTAAAACCTGACGTATTACGAAACGTTGGTCACATCTGGTGTCGCTGTCGGCTCCTATTCGACAACTGATGTGGGCCGACGCCGCAAATGTCAAATCAAATAGAAAATGTCTCGCAAACATCCTGCAAATGGAAGGGTTTTGTTCGCTGGAGAGTTGTCCTTAGATAATTGATGACTGGCTGTTCTTAATTAGGTTGTGATGTGCATTTTTAATTTTGCAATAGATACATTCAAATTCCTCATTTTTACAACTGAAAACAGTTCAATATATTTCTTGCCCGATACAATCGTCAATTGCCTCAATTTTTATTCGTCAATAAATCTTAAAACTCAATATATAGATCACAATATTTTGCAATGCTCAGAGCATGTATATTTATTATTACTTATACGTATACGTACGTATAGTACGTATACGTAATATTCATTTCATCTTCATGTTTGCTCGATGCTTCTAGAATGCATTATTAGCAATTTGCCACCCCGATAATAGTTTGACCTTTTTTGCTCATGTTTCTTTGTTTTCCCATTGTTTTCCCATTGTGTTTTCCCATATGTTATCTTTCGTGACTGAAATAAGTGTATCTCGTTACAAGTTTCCAATCATCCCTCAGCGTACATAATGTTTTTAACTAACAGTAACTGAACTGAACTGAAGTAAATTAATTTAACTTATAACTGAACCTAGCATTGACATCGATCCCTGATGTGATTGGTACAAAGGTGCGACTTTGTTTGAACCTTGTTTAGCAGTTTTTAAATTGTTCTCCTGAAATCCAATCATATTAAATAACCTACTGTGGCCTTTGATCAAACTTTGACTTGATCCGTGACCTTCACTAGAGCAAACAAGCGTGATTTGAGTAGATTTGGCCGATGTCTTTTGATGATTATCTTCCAATGTGTTTACGATTCGGATCTAAGAGAAACTTGCGTTTTTTACCATTCCTTCTTTTCGAAAGAGGGTAGTGATTCGTATGATAACTGCAATTATTTCAATTTATTATTGTACCCTGAACACCGGACAGCATCGTCTTATAAGCATGTCTTCGTCCCAACTGTTCCTTTCCTCACCAACTGCAACTTGTCATGATACTAAGCGGGATAAGGCAATGAAAAAATGGCACACTCTTCCTATTAATTGCAACGTTTGTAGATAAAAAGTGACATCAAGCGTTGATGGCACAATATGAACACAAAACTGACAGAAGGGCAAACATGTTATGTTCGTTCGCTTAACACGCCAAAAAATGTCCATATATCGAAATTCGAAAATACCCAGTGTTTCGCCCAATTGCGAAAGATGTATCGGCTATCGCTGCAAACTAAAGTTTTGGCTGTTGTTTAACGGACTCAGCTGATGTCGATGGATTTTCCGGTTGGGTTTCGTTTCGTTGAACCTTGACCTTGTTTTGTTTGTGCCAACGCGGCACAAGTTGGTCGCAGTTTCACGCTTCCGTGCAGGGTTACAGTGTAAGATTGCATTTAATTTATATATTGTCAATGATGATATGTATGAAGTTATTAGAGAGAGTGAAAGGTTATTGTTGTCATGTTATAGGCCCAAGAGAACAGATATGGGAAATATTGACAGACTGATATAGGCACGTGGTGCGTCGCATTCGCCAAAATTGAACCTGTGTTCCAGTCCATTTGTATTTGTCAATTATGTTATTTTCTGTTTTGTTAAAGCAAGTCATTCTTTTCAGGTTTCGAACATCATCTTACATCACTTCATGCTAAAATACAGTGATGTTTGGTTTGAAACGCCCTAGTTTAAGCTTTGAATTTTAATATGACGGAAGTTGGTGAAACATTCGAAACACTGCCTTGAATCACAGATCTGAATTTAGAAATGATGAAGAAAATGGGCGAGACCAAAGATGCTGATCAGATGCAAGCTGAACATGATAGATTTAAGATGCTGAGAGCAAGCAGCAAAAGGGCATTCACTCGTATCAAGAACAACCTTTTGAAGGCCATTGAAGATGATGATGGAGTTGAACTGGTTCGTGACTGGTATTCTGAGCTGAAAGAAGCCTGGGCCAATGTGGAAAGGACCCATGAACAGTTCGTCAGTTGCTTACCTGTATCTGATTCAGAAACTGAAGAAGAGTGGATCAAAGCATGTGATGAGATGTTTGCTGCTGCAAAGAAGAAGACATACAAGTACACCGAACTAAAGGATGCAGCCAAACAAAGGGAAGGTCAGAAGAGCAACATCAAGCTCAGCAGGGTTGAACTACCTAAATTCAGTGGTGACCGCAGGGAGTACCCCAGGTTCAAATCTGATTTTAACAACCATGTCATCCCACATGTCAGTGATGGTTCAGCTGCATATACGCTAAGAACATGCTTGAACAAGAGAGGACAAGACCTGGTGAGGGTGGTGGATGATGATGTGAACGAAATGTGGAGAAGGCTTGATGAAGAGTATGGTGATCCCTCACTCATGGTGGATCTCATCATCAATGATGTCAAGAAATTCAGGATGATCCGAGATGACAAAAAGAGACTGATCGAGTTCATTGATCTCATAGAGAAGGGTTATCATGATCTCAAGTACATGAATATGACAGCTGAAATGTCCAATGTTGGATTCATCAGCCTAATTGAAGGAAAACTGCCTCAGTCAGTCAGAGAGAAGTGGGCAGAAAGGGTGAACAAAGAAGACACAGATGTCAATAGGAATGACAAGTTCCCTCATCTCCTGAAGTTCCTCTTGGAAGTGAGAAGAGTGACAAAATACCTGCTTTCCGACATCAGGGACCCAACAGTCACCCCTACTCCAAAGGCTGCTGTGCATGTTGGTTCGACAAACCACAACACAGAACAAAATCGACTGAAATGTCTACTGCATGGTCTTGGAGACCACACAACACAAGAGTGCAGAGGATTCAAGAGCATGAAGCCTGAAGAGAGAAGAGCTCTAGTTCAGAAGAAAGGAGGCTGTTGGTGCTGTCTGAAGAGAGGACACAGAGTAGCTGACTGCAGGTACAAGTACAGATGTCCTGTGACTGGATGTGATCAATATCACAATGAAGCATTGCATCTTGCTGAAGCGGCTCCAGTCCTCACAACAGCTGAATCTGACTCGTCTGCATGTTTGTTGCCGATCATGAAGATACGGAGCGGACGAAAGGAAGTGAATGTGCTCTGGGACAGTGGGTCGACCACAAGTTTCATCACCAACAGAAAGGCAAAGGAACTGAACCTCAAAGGGAGGCCATGCTCTCTCGAGATTGTAGGTATGGGCTGCAAGAACAGTCAGCTGAACTCCAAGAAGTACATCCTCCCTCTGACTGATCAGGATGGCCACTGCGTCGACTTTGAAGTCTATGGAATCGAACAGATCTCAACAAAGATCAACCTGAACATGAAGGATGACTTCAGCTCAACTGTACTCGATGCGAAAAGGCCCAAGGGTGAGATTGAAGTTCTGATTGGCTTTGACCATGCTGCGCAACACCCAGTCAGAGAAAAGTCAATGGAAAATCTGGTGCTGCTGCGCAACAGGTTTGGTGTGTGTGTGAGTGGGTCACACCCCAGCTTGGTCGAGAAAACTGAGGTCATGTCGATGCACATGCAAGTGTGTGCAATCTCACCAACCAGTCTGGAAGATTTCTTCACCACAGAGTCACTGGGAACGCAGTGCACTCCCAAGTGTGGATCGTGCAAGTGTGGCAAATGTCCCCCAGGGGGCAAAGACTACACTCTTCGTGAGGAGAGAGAGTTGAAACTCATTGAAGCAGGACTTCAACATCATGATGATCACTGGGAAGCCTCCTACCCATGGGTCAAGGATCCGAAGGAACTGAAAGATAACAGACAAGCTGCACTGGCAGTACTGAACTCGACGGAGAGACGACTAAAGAAACACCCAGAACACGCATCTGTGTACCAAACCCAGATTCAAGACATGGTGGACAGAGGAGTGGCCAGGAAGATCACAGAAGAAGAAGCTGCTGGGTATGATGGCCCAATCCGCTACATCAGTCACCATGAAGTTCTGAAACCCGACTCCAAGTCCACCCCGTGCCGAATAGTTTTTAACTCGTCTGCTCGCTTCCAGGGGCAGATCCTGAACGACTTCTGGGCCAAAGGACCAGATCTGCTGAATAGTCTTCTGGGTATTCTGCTACGATTTCGTGGGGACTCAGTGGGTGTGGTTGGAGATGTGAAGAAGATGTATCATTCCGTGAAGATACCGCTTCTAGATCAACACACGCACAGGTTCTTGTGGCGTGATCTCGAAGAAAGAGAACCAGATACCTACGTCATGACATCTGTGTCGTTCGGCGACAGACCTGCTGGAGCTATCGCCACTCTCGCCATGCGTAAGACAGCTGAGCAGGGACAAGCCCAGTTCCCAGGCGCAGCTAGAGTGGTGATAGAAAACACTTACATGGATGATGTCATCTTCAGTACAGCAAGTCGAGATGAGGCCACAGTTATCACCCAAGACGTGGAGAAGATGCTGAAGACCGGAGGGTTTCACATGAAACGCTGGGTCATGTCAGGAGAGAAACCGGACCAAGAACGCGACCTGACTGACAAGGTCCTGGGAGTCAGCTGGAAGCCAGAACAAGACATGTTCTGCTTTCAGACCCAGTTGAACTTCAATCAAAAGAAGAAAGGTGTGAAAGTTGCAGAGCCGCTAGCCCCAGGCGAGACATCAGATGCAGTTCCTGATCCACTGACGAAAAGGATGGTACTGTCTCAAGTGAATGGAATCTACGACCCGTTGGGTCTGGCTGCTCCGTTCACCGTCAAAACCAAGATCATGATGAAGAGGATGTGGATGGATGAGATGAAGGAACTCAACTGGGATGATCCGATTCCTGCTGCTCGAAGAGAAGAGTGGGTGGAACTCCTCAGTGAATTCCACGGAATGCGAGAAGTGGAGTTCCACCGGAGCATCAAACCCCCGTTAGCAGTGGGCAAACCGACGCTGATAGTGTTCTGCGACGGGTCAAACGAGGCATATGGAGCGTGCGCGTACGCAAGATGGGAGCTGAGCGACGGCAACTTTGAAGCCCGTCTCATCGTCGCCAAGACCAGAGTGTCTCCTGTAGAGAAACTGACTATCGTGAGAATCGAACTGAGTGGAGCTGTACTTGCTGCAAGACTAGCAACTTTCTTGAAAAGAGAACTGCAACTTGAATTTGGTGCGACGTTCTTCCTGACGGACTCAGAAATCGTCAGAGCAATGATACAGAAAGAGTCTTATGGATTCGCCACCTTCGCTGCTGTTCGAGTCGGTGAAATTCAACATACAACAGACCCGACTCAGTGGTACTGGGTCGAAGGAAATCTGAATGGCGCAGACTGTCTCACAAGAGGGAAACATCCAACCGAGCTTGGAGGAGACAGTGAGTGGCAGGCTGGACCGGAGTTTCTTAAGCTTCCGATCTCAGACTGGCCTCTGAAGATGGACAGAATCAGCTCCTGTGAGCTACCAGAGAGACTCGCTGTCGTCATGAAGTGTGAAGAGGCTGGAAGAAACACAGAGAGTCTCATGGACATCAGCAAGGTCTCAAGATACCGTCGTCTGATGAGAGTCACTGCAAGAGTCATCAGCGTCTTCTGCAAGTTGAAGCCAACGTTCAGGAACGTGAGTCAGCAGCCGTCTGTCGAAGGCCTAGAAGCAGCAGAAAGGTACTGGGTCAAAGAAGCACAGAAGATGCTACATGAAGACCTCAGTGGGGGCAAGTTCAGAAGACTACGCCCGACATACAACAAGGACGGCATCATAATGGTCGGCGCTCGAGCTGAAGAATGGCTGGAGATCAGCTACAACCGCCAGCAGCTACCGCTACTGCCGTTCCAACATCGTCTGTCGCGGTTGTACGTGGAGTACACACATCAGCAGGGTCACCTGGGCACTTCTGCAACAACTGCCAAAGTCAGAGAAAGGTTCTGGATCATCAGCCTGCAGAGGATCTCCAAGGCAGTGCGGTATGGATGTGTCATCTGCCGCAAACTCGACAAGAAGTTCGAAGCACAGAGGATGGGCCAGCTACCAGTGGAGAGGCTGAAGCCAGCGCCAGCATGGAGCAGCACTGCGCTGGACTATTTCGGTCCCATGCTGATCCGAGGAGAGGTGAACAAGAGGTCCAGGGGCAAAGCCTACGGAGTTCTCTTCACCTGCATGCTGAGCAGGGCCGTTCACCTGGATCTGGCATCCGACTACTCAACGGATGGATTTCTGATGGTATTCCGCAGGTTCGTGTCTGTCCGCGGATGTCCATCAAAGCTGTTATCGGATTCTGGCTCACAGCTGATGGCTGCAAACAAGGAGCTCCAAGCTGCCGTGAGGCACCTGGACCGAGATACGTTGCGAGAGTTCGGAGCAGAGAACGGCATATCATGGGAGTTCACCACACCTGACGCGCCTTGGCAGAACGGTTGTTCTGAGGCACTCATCCGATCTGTGAAACGGACCCTGTCATCTGTGATCGGAGATCAGGTGCTGAGTTTCTCTGAGCTGCAAACTGTCATGTTCGAGGTGTCAAACTTGCTCAACGAACGACCAATCGGGAGACATCCGACTGATGTGCAGGACGGCGTCTACCTCTGTCCCAACGACCTGATTCTGGGACGAGCCAGTCGCCGAGCACCATCTGGTCCGTGGGACCAGTCGACGAGCATCAGTCGGCGGCATGAGTTTCTTCAGCGTTTGGTTGACGCTTTCTGGCGGAAATGGACGCGCGACTTCTTCCCGACACTTCTGCCGCAGCAGAAATGGCACGTGACGAAAAGGAACGTTCAGGTGGGCGATTTGGTGTATCTACAGGACTCCAACGCAGTGCGAGGAAATTGGAGAGTTGGTGTCGTGACCCGAGTGCGTGAGGGACGTGACGGACGTGTCAGAGACGTGGACATACGATGCAGAAGTGCGACGGTATGTGAAGGCGGGGCGGCTAGGCCTGCCAGCCGCTGTGTAGAGATAACTCGTTCGGTTCATAGGCTGGTGGTGTTGGTTCCAGTCGAGGAGCGCGACGGGACGGTGCAGCTGGACTCGACAGGCGGCGTCGGGTCTGCAGGCGTAGTGACGTGAAGGATCGCGATGCAGACTCGGCGAGAGTATGAGTGACGGGTACCTATTGTCTTGTGCGTTGTGGGACAGCAATGTTATTAGTTGATACGCAGATACTTGTTTCAGTTCAAGTGAATTCATTCGTGCTGTGCAGCGCTCATGAATTGTTGAGGCGGGAGTGTTTCGCCCAATTGCGAAAGATGTATCGGCTATCGCTGCAAACTAAAGTTTTGGCTGTTGTTTAACGGACTCAGCTGATGTCGATGGATTTTCCGGTTGGGTTTCGTTTCGTTGAACCTTGACCTTGTTTTGTTTGTGCCAACGCGGCACAAGTTGGTCGCAGTTTCACGCTTCCGTGCAGGGTTACAGTGTAAGATTGCATTTAATTTATATATTGTCAATGATGATATGTATGAAGTTATTAGAGAGAGTGAAAGGTTATTGTTGTCATGTTATAGGCCCAAGAGAACAGATATGGGAAATATTGACAGACTGATATAGGCACGTGGTGCGTCGCATTCGCCAAAATTGAACCTGTGTTCCAGTCCATTTGTATTTGTCAATTATGTTATTTTCTGTTTTGTTAAAGCAAGTCATTCTTTTCAGGTTTCGAACATCATCTTACATCACTTCATGCTAAAATACAGTGATGTTTGGTTTGAAACGCCCTAGTTTAAGCTTTGAATTTTAATATGACGGAAGTTGGTGAAACACCCAGAATGTTCTTTCAGGCATGTTTCTTTTGCAAATCCAAATATTTTATGACTACCTGTGTCGTTTTTCTATAAAGAAAATAGAAAACATTGACTTTGGTAAGTGACACACGCTCCAGCTGGATCACATTCCATTTAACCCTCGCCGGCCGAGGGGGGGAGGGCGGGTGCCGCCCCCCATAGGGTTTTTTTCGCGATAGCTCCGAACACGCTGGGGATAGAGAGCTGAAACTTGACATACCTGACCTTTGATCCAAGCCGGATCTTTTGACACCAACCGCATTTTTGGGTCAGGTCAGGTCACTGACCTATGACGTCATAAGTGAACCTCTGCACGGTCTTCAGATGTCGCAACTTCGCAACGCCCTCACTGCCAGAGGAGATGTCACAGGGAAATGAAACTTGCAGGATCTAGTAGCCATTATGAGTCCCACAACTTGCATATCTCGGATTTTCCCTAAAGGTCATATGAGTTCAGGTCATTTTCGTGACCTCACCATTGTAAGTCAATGGGGAAAAATTAAAACTGCTATTCGGGCGCCGGGAACGATCTCCAACTATCTCAAGCACACAGAATCGTGATTTGATGCACTCCTTGCAAGGTTAGATGCGTCACTTTTGCAATGTTGACCTTGCGTGACGTCATTTATGACGTCATCAAGGTCATATTAGTTTTTCGTTAATAACTCTGGATCAAATTGAGCTAGCGAGTCGGGAAAGCCACCAATGGACTCAGGAAGACCTGCCAAATCGAATGATATGCGACATGACCTCTTTCGACCAACTTCGTGACCTGAGGGTGCTGACCTGACCTTGACCTGAGGTCAACACCCCAAGTTGACCTGACCCAGACAAAAAGTATATCATTCGACGCGCCTGAGCGAGACGAACACGATGCTGCCAAAATCGGCGCTCTGCGGCCGTTTTTTTGCGAAGTTATTCATCAAAAACTGAACCGTACCTTGGGACACTTGACCTGACCTCAGAGGTCACCGGTTGACCTAGGACCTTAAAATCGGGTACCAATCTCTGCGTCTCGTAACGGCGCACACGCTCGCTTTTTCCGCGACGCGCTAGCTCCACCAGGGGCGAAACGGCGAGGGGGGGGTCGTACCCCCCCCCTCGGCCGGCGCGTATGTAGAAAACCAATAGGTCCGGCGAGGGTTAAATGTCACTGTTCACTTGGTCTAGACAATGCCTAAATGCGACCCAACACGGAACAAAGTCACAGGCACTAGTTCGTGGGAAACAGTCGGCAATAATGAAATGCTCCGGCTGACGGCTCATTTCGAAGCCTGTACAATAGGTCCAGTGAGCTGCATGGGACAAAGTTTAGCCGGCAGCAACCCGACACAGTTCGTATGCAAGTTCTGTGTGAAAGCTAGAAGTCACGGATATTGCCACAAATAAGCGGCCGAAAAACATTATCAACGCAAACACTGCAACAAAAGTCTGCGTTTTCAGAGGAAACAGATGAATGCATAGGCTTAAGTGCGTCCGTTTACAGTGAATTAGCTTTAAATTGTCCTCAGTGAATTCCAGTGTACTCGTTGAGACCGTTTTTGGTAGCATTTAAGCAAAGAGTACACCTTACCAAAACGCTTCCCAGGCGTCTCCTCATTTATCCCTGCCGCCACAGACCTGTCGGCACTAACTATTATCCATGTTTTGCATGTTATAATGCATGTTTTGAAGCAAGCTAAACGACTAACGCTAAATAGACTCGCATGATGCGCAGTGTTTCGATTCTTCGTGCAAAATAACTGGTCGCAAAAATATATAAATGTGACAAAGTGCGGCAGCTTATGCTTGTTTTGCTGTTCCGACAAAGTAGCATCCAATTGCCTTTAGGCTAAAACGGATAGCGGAAGCCATGAGGCTAACAACTATTTCTCAATGCATCCACTGTGTGGCTTTCACTCTGCCGTCCACCGCCCAGGCTTGCGCCGCCTTTATACCTGGACACCACTTCCGTACCTGTAACTCGGGACACCCTCGCGCCTCCTCCCCCCCCCCCCCCCCGCCGGCGAGGAAGCGACAAACAGGCCCGAACATCGGTGATTGATTCGCGTCAGAGTGGCGCCGACTATCGGCCGCGCGGCCCGCTAATTAACGGCGGCCCCGGGGACGATCGCCGTCGACGGAGCCTCGTCGCAGCCGACGCGTCGACACCGGCCGACGCCGGTCATTATCGCGCCGTGTTCGCAGCCGGGGGCGGAACACCGTGGAGCTAAGCAGGGCCAGAGGACAGGAAGGGTCAGACAGCGGGAGCAGCCGAGGGAATGGGGCTGGGGCGATGAATTTCATACTAGCGGAGGCAGCTGGAACTGATGATGGGGCTCTAACGTTTAATTACGAGTTCACGCTTGATTCACAGGTAATGTTCCCGACAGGCTGATAGCAGCTAAGGGATTCCTAACAGCTTTCCTGGAATCTGATTTGATGGGTGATTACCTGATTGCCTGTACTCATGAGCTAATTCATTAACGCCATAGATCAGCGGGGAGCTGGCTGCGAAACGGCCAGGAACATAGGATGACTTGAATGAATAAATTTTATTATTGTTGGACAGTCTAGATTGTAAGTAAGACAGCTAACTTTGGATTGACGTCAAAAGGTTACATTTCCTACCCGCGAGTGGAAGAAAAATGAGCCGGAGCTCCGTTTGCGTCCGCTGGTGTCAAGGCTGGCGCGTCGAGCTATGCGGCACAGCATACCACTGCAGGCGCCCACTATCAGAGCCATCTAGCGGCAAGGATAGCATGAATATGAGAAACTCGGCCGCGGCCGAAGCGTAACCTGTCAAGCGTCGTTGATTCAGAGTGTGAGGCGTCTCAAAAATAGACCACTGTTACTATTTTAGACATACGGACCAAATAGACCACTGTGGCACTCAGTTTGTGCGGTCCGTCATTGTCAGCGGGTATGGTCGGTAAAACGGACTTCTGCTGGACCTGGCCAATGTGTTTCAAGGCAATCCAAGAATGTGGCCAATTGGTACGGTCCACTGCGTTCGGTATGGTCCGGTTGGTCCAGGAGTGTGTTGGACACGGTCCAGCGCGGCCCGCAAGTGTGGCTACTGCGTTCCAGACGTGTGTTCGGTACGGGTGTGGGTTCGGTTCACTGTGGTCCAGGAGTGTGTTGGGTACGGTCCAGCGCGGCCCACAAGTGTGGTCGATGGCTGCATTGAAGGTGTCCTCTGTAGCCACCGGCGGCCGGTTCACTCACACTCAAAGGCCGATCCGATACTGCAATCAATAGCGCGGAGCGGGCACCTCCGCCGACCGAGCACGTGTCGCTCCGCCCCGGTACCCGTCCCCCGCTGCGAGTTGCGGTGTCACCGTCGAGCTCGCCTCGCCGAGGCTCATTCATCAACGCGCGACGTCGATTCTGTCCCGACAGGGCGCCGCCTGCGTCTCACATATTCACGCAATCTAAAAGGCAAGCACACTTGCAGGCTCCAGCACGACCTTTGCGCTAAGAATCGACACACGCACATCGCATGCGCCATTGACATTCGCACCCCAGTATTGGTGGACGACATGCAATACAGCATAGTCACTTGCAGCAGCAAGCACGAGCTAACGTTCGCTTTTATCTGGGAACTGAAATCCGCACGACTCTCTGACAGCCGAGTCTGTTAAACCTGGCTGCAACTCAGTCGATAATTAGATTCGTTTCGTGCCGTTTGTCGCCGAGTCTGTTGATTCAGCACCGGTTCGAGCGGCTAACAGCTGCCTAGTGGCACAATATAAACTGATGATTACGCGGAACTGTAACTGCTACTGTAACTGCTACTGTAGCGTGCCAACTGCACTGGGATAGAATTTTATAGGTCAACTATTTACGGTACAAATTCCACTAGTGTTGAGTATCCATGACAGGTTGGATGATGATGTAAATAATAAACCAAATTATTACAAATGCATTCAAATATATTCAAAAAGATACACAAAGCTTTCGACTCGTGTTCGGGGTCGTTTTTCCATTGGTATGAAAATATCCCTATATTTTGGTAACATTGGCAAGATAACAATGGCTGCGGTGTCACAAAACATTAGCGCATCATCCGATCATCGACGAACACAAACATGACATCTTAATCCTTCATCGCCGCACCTTTATGCCAACATCACATCACAAGCTCACCACCGACATTACCATCGCATCATCACGAAGCCATCACGAAACCCCCACGGCAAGTACGCGTGTACTTTCACGGAACCACCACAACATTACCATACCTCCACGACAACTCATTCACGACGCCGCCACGACACCAGCACGCCTCCAGCACAAGTCCATCACGCCTCCACCACCGCCACAGCATGCCTCCTTCGCGGTACCATCCAGGGTAATTTACTGCGTTTCCTTAGTTCCCTGACGAGCGGAGTTATCCATCTAAACTGGCACGGCATGGTCGGTTCGGCGCGCATCCGGTCAGCGTCGTGGGGGAATGGTTCTCGGCACGACACCGTCTGGGAAGCGGGTGTGTTCTGCTCCCAGGACCGTGGAATGAGCCACAGGTGGTGGGCCGCTGATCTGCATACGGGCGCTGGCAGTGAATAAAGCCGCAGACAGGAGCGAGATGATTGGGTAAATGTTATTGGACTGAGCTAATGCAGTGGTGGTGTGGATTTGTGAAAGCAGGAAGAATCACCCGACATGATTGCTCTTGGCTGGGTTCAAAATAATGTAAAGAACAGCAGCACGAAATACGCCCACTCTCAATTCCATAGCTGCATGATAAGTTTCGGCGTGGGAGTGACAACGGGCTCTCGCAAGGCATCCCTACATAAGATACAGCGCAATCAATGAAGAATGGCAACACACTGGCAGCCATGTGGGCGTTAAGCCAAATGAGATCTCCAAACGATCTCTGGTGTGAAAGATGTGGGCGAAGCTAAGGCACTTCGGAAGTTCCGGTAAGGTGGAAATTAGCTCCGCACAATTTAAAAGTATCTTTACTCACTGGATCGAGGGTATGCAGCACTGGAATATGATGCATTGAAATGTGATGGATGAGCTGGGATCGATAACCCGGACAAAGTCATTTATAAACCGGCCACGTGGAAAAGCGGGCTGCCAGCCGAAGCCAAGAAGTGGCACAGTCGCATTTGCTCTACGCAACACTGAAAGAGCTGCCTTTACGCTTCATCACTCTCTAGTCACCTCAAAGTTACGGGCTTTATTTGAATGCAATACGCTCGAAAAAACAAACGACTCGTAATGATTTGACTTCAAGCTTTCTTGAATTTCTGAGCCTGCCACTGGGTTTCATTCCTCGATGACTGATTGCTCGCCGTCTTTTCTATCTTTTTCTGTGCTTGATCTAACTATATGGCCTGTTTTAGCTGAGCTGTTACCCTAAGGTTAATTGAATTAAATCAAAAGAGTTTTTGCTTGCGTCCGACATAGTGTCAAGATCACTACGAGACATTTCTCGTTTGTTTGTCTTGTGGTTTGCAGTTCGTCAAAATATCACTGGTAACGTTCGGTCTTCAACACCAGCATGATTTTATCCTCAGCCACATTCCCTTCCCAGAATCAGTCGCACTCGCCGCGCGCTTCCGGCCCGCTGAACCATGAGCACACGGCTCACGACTCCCGTATGTAGGTTCACTCAGCGACCGTGACCTGTGCCGACAATATACCGTATACCGGTCGGGACGAGAGTAGCACGCGTCCGTCCTTCCGCCTGTTTGCAGTGCTCACTAATCACGTTTGTCGGCGCTGACCGATGCGGTGCTGATCATGTCCGGCAGGCGACTGCGACACACTCATGAGAACGGTGATGGCGACGGCAGGAGACAACGTCACCCTGCCCTGTCCCGGCCTGGCGGGCTCGGCTGCCCCGGACCCGGGAGCGGTCAGGGCCGGATCCGGAGCCAGGATTGGAGCCGGGACCAGGGCCAGGGCAGGGACAGCCGGCCACGGTGGATACCTGGTCTCTCAGCTCACCTGGGAGTGCCCGGGTCGACGCCGATGTCCCGCCGCTGCCGACGACTCGGTGAGTAGTACGTGCTCTCTTGCATATCGCGTGAATGTTTTCATAAATTAACCCGCGCCCTGCTGGGGGGGGGGGTGTTTGAACACCCCCCTTGTGGTTTTTCGCAAATATCTCAAAAACGGCGGCGCGGAGCGCCGCCGTTTTTGGTACACCTTATCATACATCAATTCTACACATGTTGTAAAAATTTCAGACCAAGGTCGTTCAAGGTCAGGTCACCAGGTCACTTGAAGTGACCTCACCTCATAAAAACTTTCAATGTCTGTCATATCTACACCGAGTGACCGATCGCTTTGAAACTTTCAGCGATTGCTAAGGGCAATAGCATGTACAAAATGTATATCTCAGAATTTTGATATCAATGACCTAAGGTCAGGTCAATTTTGCGACCTCCCCATTATAAGTCAATGGGAGAAAATTGAAATGCGCCTCTTTTGGATGCAAGACATTATAAACACTCCCAAACACCGAATTACAAGTGGTTTAGACACACTGAACATGAAAATGGTGTCCGTGACCCTTGTTTATGCCCTGAGGTCATCTTAGGTCACAAATGGTATCTAACAGTTTTTCGCAAATAACTTTTGATAGAGGCATGCTAGAGCGATGAAAACGCCTTAGATGTGTTCAGCTCGACGATACGGATCGACTGATATGCAACATGACCCTTTCCGGTCAGGTCATGACCTTGACCTGAGGTCAAATTTTCAAGTTGACCTTTCAAGGTCAAATTATAGTTCATTCCATGCGTCTTGACGAGAGGAACACGATGCCGGTAAAAGTAAGCTCGTACAAGGCTTGGGTCAAAAGTTATTGCAGAAAAACTGTTTCCGAAAAAATCGGCTATTTTTGCAGTTTTTGCCCCCTGCAGGCAAAACCGTTGACGTTAGGTCAAATCTGAGAGAATTACTCAGAAAGGGCGTTAATAGGGCTATCGAATGCGCTTTTCCGCGGCGCTGTAGCTCTATTGGTTCCCGAGTTATGCGTTGGCTTCTTGGAAATTTTCGACATTCGACCTGGAAATCGGCGAAATTTTGCCTTCAATGACCTCTGGTGACCTGACCTTTGACCTGACCAAAAATTGACCGAAGTGATTTCGTCATCATTTTTGACGCTCTTTCGAACGCCGCCTTCCGCGTATCGCTACGTGGCCCAGGAGCCGAGTTACAAGGGGGGTGTTCAAACACCCCCCCCCCCCCCAGCAGGGCGTGGAAATCCAGGACCCCCAGCCGGGCGCGGGTTAAGAATATGTTCGATATTAATTTAAGCAAAATGCAGTCGTCATGTAACAAATCCTTAATCGTAAGGACTCCAAGCCCACGTGCGACCCTGAGTGCATAAATATTTATTATAATATGCAGCCACACAGTCGTCTTTTTGCATGCCCGCGCCACTCTGTCATGCCATCTCATGGCATGTGTCAGTATGTGCAGAGAAAACATGGAACCATTTGTAAACCAGTGAAGGGCGGTGTCCCTCTTATTAATGACCGTAAGCAATACCGCAGTTCCTGATTGCAGGCGACATGCAATGAATTTGATTGTAGACTGTCTTATTGCACTTGATTAGGGGCCGAAAATCACACCCGATTATTCGCGACACAGTAATTTGAACAAGTAAATTTATTGCGTGAAGTAAATTCTGGATGTGATTTGTGACTGGCATTCAGTCCAGGTGTGGAAGCCATTAAGGCTTTATTGTTCTGACCCAGACCAAACTGCAATTCCACTTTCGTGACGCTTATAATCCACAAGACACACAGACAGGTGGTAATGGGGTTAGATATCTTCAAATTAATTATACATTTAGCATTTAATTCCAGTGTACAGTTGACCATGCAGCTCTTCAATTTCTCCTCAACTAGGTCATTATTTAAATAGCTCTAAAAGTGTGATAGTACAAATATATTCTACGTGTACTATTGTTGTCAAATAACCAGTAATCTGATTTCGCTTTCCAGCACAGAGCTGTAAAAGCACTGGTACAGTGGTGAGCTGCAATAAATTACAGATTGTGCCATTTAAAATTAAAGCGAATAATTTAACCACTACATCATAACATAACAAAATATTCATATTTATTGCAAAGCATATAAGTACGATACACCAATTCACAGATCTTTTGCTAAGCGTAAATACAGTTGAAATCAAAAAGGCCAAGGGAAACGGAAGTATTTTTCAGGTTGATCAGGATTTCTGCTCGCCACTGAACCTATTGATCAACATGTCAGAAAAGATAATTTGCAGGCAGCAAATATGGTATTATGGGAACTGATATGCTACCTGATTCGCCTTGGCCTTTAACGTTTGGTGATTAGCGGCGGCTGAAACCTGTAATCCTTTTGGTTGACGCAGAGACGAGGTTTTTAATGTCAGCTCCCGCTGCTTTATGTCCGATTATGGGCCGGCCAGCGGGCCGTGCATTTGTACCTGTCGTTCGGTGTCAGGCCATCACCGTTAGCCTTATTTATCATGCGCTGATGAAACTGACGCTCTAAAAGCGGTGTCCGTCAGCGCTGACCGATTCCCGTGCACCGCAACAACCGGCCGGGGTGATGTGTCATCAGTGGTGACCGGTCAGGGTGATGTGTCATCAGTGGTGACCGGCCACTGTGACGTGTTATCAGTACACTGATGTGGCGTCCGGCCGGAGTGATGTTCTATCAGTGGTGACCCCTCCATGGGTTATGTTCCATCAGCTTACTGAGCAGCGTTCAGACTTCGGACCAACCGAGCTGCGTACGTTCGGCCTCACGCCGGTCACCGGAGGCTCAATGTCCAAGCTCCGGTCTTATTTATTAGACAGATAATGTGCCCCTGTATCAGTCCAGTCCATTACCAGCTAACACCTCACAGTGTCACTGAGGGTCGCGAGGCGCCAGAGCCGGATCAGGGGCATATGACGACGCATCCACAGACGCAAAAGCTGCGCAGATTGTTCGCGGAGCTGGCGGAAGCTGTGAACGGTGATTGTAAAGCGCGCTCACATGCAACCTAGATAAAAGACAACTACACTATTGGCACGTTTGCCCACGGTTTATACGATAAAGATACGAGAGCTACGAAGTGAGGTACGGAAGCTACGAAGCAATCTAAGAGAAGGAAATATTTCGAGTTTTGTAGCATGAATAATCGAGTTTGGTAAGGATAAATGCAGACACGAACACAATAGAAATATACAGAAGCTGCCAAGCCAGCACAAGTTGTATACTTGCACTTCTTTGCAGCAATATGGAAAAAATGCTGCAGTACAGGGAACTGCATAACCATAAAGTGTAGCTTATCCAATGTTTTTTATTGACATTTTCATTCACTTCATCAACGACCTTGTGTTTGGAGATCAGATCCATTCCGTAATACGTATTCTTGCAAAAGCGCATCACGCACAATTGCATCATTAGCCTTGTCTTCACATACTCGTATATCTGCAGTGGGTTCGGCATCCTTTGTACAGACCTCGTCAGTATTCTATGCACAACCACTCCTCGACGATTCATGTTCTCCTCTAATAATCCGTAGGCCACTGTTATGTCTCATTATGTTGTTCCCATAGTTCAAGGGCTTTTCATTTCGTCCGTAGTTCTTTAATTTAAACTCCGCCGGCTGCTTTGTTCAGCGAACGTGCCCTAACCGCGCATACCACGCGAGTTAACTCAGCACCCATTAGGCCTTTTCAAAAGATCCATTTCCGTTGAGTCGACTGTGCCGCAAAGTACAGGGTGCCATCACGGGTCGGGGGGGGGGGGGGTCAGGGGGGGACGTCCTCCGCCCTGACAGTGCCCCCTGTCACCAGTGACACGCGATGTCAGCGAAGACAGCCATCAGACAGGATGTTCAGACGAGCGGGTGACAGTGTTCACCCAGGCCCGGCGCGAGCGGTGATGGTTCCCGACTTCAGCCTCCAAATGACACTGCATGTTTAGATCTGAGAAATTTGATAAATATGCACGAATTATTGTACTCTGCGACTAAAAGACCAGTAAGATCAGTACGATGTGAGGTTGATTTGGTGACATTTTGAATAAACGGAAAAACACCTTGACGAATATTTGCCCATGTTGATAAAGGAATTATACATACTACATCAACCTTGATCTAGGAAGATATAAAGCTTTACAGCTCAGAGTTACCAGCTATCTACTTCGCGACTTTCTCTGCGCTAGAAAACAACCAACACTAGCCAACACCCTAATACATTTACGAGTAAGACAAACAAGCCGCGGCCGCCGCTATTGGGTTTACTAGCTCACTGCGACACCTTCAGACTGGTGAACTTGCCGAAATTGGGCCGCAACTCTGGTGGCATTCCGGACGACCGGTCGTGTGGTCAGCCTGCAACTTGTTCTGATGCGTGCCGCGTGCCGTGCGCTGCCAGCTAAAAACATGCCCCAATTTACGCTGGCGTCTCGGGCGACCGTCGGGGCCGGTGCCCGTCCGTCGGGGACCTTCCAGCGCTGGAGAGCGGCCACTCGGAGAGCGGCTGGCTGCGGAAATCGGTGAGGGACGGAGGCAGTAGCGGCCAACAGCGAACGGCGACACGCTGCGGAATTACACGCGTCAGGCGATTTCTGCTTTGTCCGCTAGGTCCGCCAGCTCGCAGCTCTCTGCAGCTCGGAGTTACCGGGACCGATGCGCTGTTCGTTTGTGAACGGGCAGCGAGCTTGTTTGCCGAGAGAGCGGCAATCAACGCCGACGGCTGGACACGCAGCACAAGATAAACACAAACGCGGCGCAGCGGCGGCCGTGCGGCGCGGCCGCTGACACTGCCGCTCTGTCTGGAACGGAGAACAAGACAGACCACTGCAGGCATCGCTCCAAGCGCCTGCTAAATCTAGTAACTCCTCACAGTATTTTTACTTTGTCGCAAAAAAAGCCGGACAATGCTGCAAGTGTGTTAGATTATCGGCTTGAATCACCATACAGGCACTGCTGAAGAGTAACATAACCTCTCACTGGGTCTAATTTCCATGGAAAGCCTAAATGTGCCATGAATAGATCAAGAACTGGTGTCCTTGATTCATTGAAGTTTATCCAGATTGATTTTTGCACTTGTTCTGAATCGCTGATATTAAACACCAGTAAGAACATACAAAGACACACATTATCCTATGTCCTGTGGTCACGACTTGTCTGTCTTTGTTTCCAATTCTTAATTATAAACACGAAACGAATACGCACGTTTCGCAGCATGAAGAATAGTCATGTTACATAACTATGAGCAATGGCTGTAACGGCAGATATATCCGCATTGCATAATGTATAATTCGTTACGGCTAGATCGTAGCAATATTCATACGCAACTTACTTTCTATTGCGATGAAATTTTCACCAAGGCGCCAAAGTCATTCCAGCACACTTGCACCAGTCATTACCAGGGAGTGACGATATTTTGTCGTTGGTGACCTTTCGATGATTAGTGATCACGGCTGCTGTGTAGGAACGCCATCCGGCAACAGCACAAAACATGAGTGCACACAATAAATAGTACGAAGGCTCACGCCATACCACCCTTCTGGCTCCCGTAACAAAACGCCACTGTTTTTTTAGGGCTGATAATAAGTTTGGTCAAAATTAATAGACAAGCCCGAATAAAGTTACAAAAAGGAGTGCTGGTGTCGCACACTGGGCTGAATGTCGAACTCGAAAGGCTATGTAATGATTAATTTTGAACTGTGCCATGACTATCGGATATTTCATACTTTGCTGAATGCCATTGATGAATTTGACTTCAAACTTTGTAGTTCTTTATATTGTCAATGTACATGATAAATCAAGAAAGCCAGCTATACTATCCGCATCATCGTGGCATCGGACGGCCTCATTGATGCTAATTGGTAGCTCGATCCCGGCTTTACACCCTGATGCGAGACGATCCTCAGGTGCAGGGTCTCTCGGTCGGCCAGTCAACTATCTGGTTTTGGATGCATCAGCGGAACTAGACCTGTTCCCACTTCCCGTCCTCCCTTTGCTGCTTCTAATGCACCCGATCAGTTGACCCTTTATTTGCCCTGCCTTGGACATATAGCACAGGGGTAGGGGGTAAGGACCATCTCACCGGCTCTTTGCAGAATAGTTAGCCCACGTTTGCTTTGCCTTAGGACCAGAGGTTCGGACCCGGAGCCGGAGCTGGAGCCGGCACATTTTGCCCGGAGCCGGAGCCGGAGCCGGAGCCGCCATGACGTTTCACCCGGAGCCGGAACCGATTTTTTTCCGAAGCCGGAGCCGGAGCCGGAGCTGTCTGAAATTTCCACGGCTTCGCATCCCTGCACATAGGGGATGTACTGAGTTGGAGCCGGAGCCGGAGCCGGAGCCGCCGGAGCCGGACCATTTTACTCGGAGCCGGAGCCGGAGCCGGAGCCGGAGCCGGAACCGGAGCCGCCGTGAAATTTCACCCGGAGCCGGAGCTGGAGCCGATTTTTTTTTTCTCCGGAGCCGGAGCCGGAACCGGAGCCGTCTGAAATTTTCACGGCTCCGCATCCCTGCTTAGGACCATACGGTAGCTACGCCCTCGTCTGCTCTGCTTTTGGCGCCATTCTGCAGCATGGCCCCCCTGTGGCCCATGCAGCTCTCCCTCTTCAATCCTCTCATGGCCGCCCTACTGCGGACCTGCAGTACCAACTACCATCACCCTCAGCCGGCGGAACGGAGCACCCGCCACAGTCCTCGTGAGTCGTGTTTCTCTCCCACTGCCACGCGGCGGCTAGGCTCTCTGTTGTCTCTCTCTGACGGACTCGAGTGGGGCGGCCGCTCCCCTCTCGCTTTGATGCCGACCGACCAGCGCTCGGCGGTGGGGAATCGTGTTATTATCACCGGCTGCTGTTTTCTCTCAGATCCCACTTCTGGTGCGTGTTTGGAGGGAGGGAGAGAGAGAGAGAGAGAGAGAGAGAGAGAGAGAGAGAGAGAGAGAGAGAGAGAGAGAGAGAGAGGGAGGGAGAGAATGAGAGAGAGAAAGAGAGAGAGAGAGAGGGGGAGAGGGAGAGGAAGAGGGAGAGAGAGGGGGCTAGGATGTCATCAACATGTCCTCGGCCTGCTTATACGTAAAGTAAAAAACGTAAATGAATGACGATTAGAATTTGACGCTGCGACTCATGTCGTTAGTCACTTCTACATATATATTCTCTGATAACTTTACTTCCACTGGACGACACGACAGACGCAAATTTAAATGCATATGCAAATAGACAGTTGTGACGCGGTAAATTCACAGCCGTTTGGGGCACGTGTCATATCTGGACCTAAAGATGCTAGCAACACAACACTCATGAACGGAATCACTGTCAGACACATCATCATATTGGCCAACGCTTAACGAGCATAGGCTGACTAACGCATCAGACATTCCATGCAGCTATCAGAATGTCATTTGCTGTATCTATAGTCATTAGGCTCTTCATCTGTCTGCCAGGACTCGGGATACTGAGACGATCTGACAGACTATTTGGAAGATTGAGCGCCCGGTGCATCCGTACGTTGCAATGCATTAATCCTTTGCATGGAGCTTTTGTGCAGTGACTGAACCTCGTGCAGAAATGGTACCGCTCAGTGACTGTGGTGAACCTGTCGGACCCCGATGTGACTCGTTGTTACGCAGTGTGACGCAATGTGACCCAATAAAACCCAATTTGATCTCGTGCTAATCGCCGTGTTCTAATGTTACCCAACGTGACCCAACATGACCCGGTGCAACCCTATGTGACCCAGTGTGACCCAATATGTCACGATGTGACCTAATGTAACCCGGTGTGGCCGCGGTGTAACCTGCTAGTACCAAATCTGGCCCAACATCAAATGCCAGCCTTCCTTTCTCCGTATGAGCCAGTGTGACCAGTGTGACCCGTTGTTACCCAATAGGGTGACAGTTATTTTCTGATTTTTTGAAAAAGCAAAAAGGCAGTTCATTTTATGGTTCCATATAGCATAAAAACATCACATGCAAAGTTTCATCCGGATCGGATGATATTTAACCGTGCCTCCTCGAACTTGAATGTATGCATTTTTATCCATTGGGCCAGCACTAGCAGTGTAGACCTTTCTGGTATGTAAACCATAAGCAGTGTTTCTCAGCTATTCATAACGATGCAATCATAAAACAAAAGACTGTGGTACACGAAAACTAGTGATGTATTTTAAAACGATTTAAAAAAAACTGAGATAAGACTTAATACGTCTTGTGGCAGTTGGCAAACTTGGACCTCCTGAAAAATATGAGCACCTGCGTCGAATGCTATCGCGCATTACTGCAGATGCCGGGTGACGGTGCCTTTGCTAGCGTTTGGAAACCTTCCACGGTGTGCCTCCACCACCTGCAGGATGTACTGCCTCTGGTCCTCATCCTTGGTGAGGGTCAAATTGTACGCTTCCATCAGAGCGACGCCACGCTCGGCGAAGTCGTTCAACACCGTGATGCCGTTGGCCTTCCCCGCTGCGGCGACATAGCGGGGGTCGTCATGCCACTCGGCAGGGTCGGTCTCGACTCTCGAGGAAGCCGTCGTCAATTCCAAGAGTGACGAAGAACGTCCGCGACGATGTGGTCACGAAGTCTGCGCGGGTGTTCTGCGTCAGGTCTGCGCTGAGATCAACGACGGCCCGCTTGGTCCTCCGAGCCTTCGTTCGAGGCGAGGGCCTCAACCATGGCCCGCTTTCCATGCATTGGTAGGCTCTCGTCAAAGAACGCCAACGGGACTAGGCTCTCACTCAGATACCACAAATGACGTCGGGCGAAGCCGCTGAGGAGTGTCTTTGCGTGGGATTTGTCCTTGTACCTGGCCAACGTCTTCAGAAGGGAGAGGTCGTTCTTAGGGGGGTTTCGTCAGAAGGGAGAGGTCGTTCTTGGTCGTTGATTCGTCAAGTTTGCCGTGTCGGTCTACATTTCCGCGTGGTACACCGCGCCGAGCCCAACATCGGCCCGTAAGAACGACCACTCCCTTCTGAAGACGTTGGCCAGGTACGAGGACAAGTCCCTCGCCAAGACGCTCCTCAGCGGCTTCGCCCGACGTCACTTGTGGTATCTGAGTGAGAGCCTAGTCCCGTTGGCGTTCTTTGACGAGAGCCTACCATTGCATGGAAGGCGGGCCATTGTTGAGGCCCTCGCCTCGAACGAGGGCTCGTAGGATTTTTACCAAGAGGGCCGTCGTTGATCTCAGCGCAAACCTGACGCAGAAGACCCTCGCAAACTTCGTGACCACATCGTCGCGGACATTCTTCGTCACTCTTGGAATTGACGACGGCTTCCTCGAGCCCGACCCTGCCGAGTGGCATGACGACCCCCGCTATGTCGCCGCAGCGGGGAAGGCTAACGGCATCACGGTGTTGAACGACTTCGCCGAGCGTGGCGTCGCTCTGATGGAAACGTACAACTTGACCCTCACCAAGGATGAGGACCAGAGGTAGTACAACCTGCAGGTGGTAGAGGCATACCATGGAAAGTTTCCGAACGTTAATAAAGGCACCGTCACCCGGAATCTGCAGTAATGAGCGATAGCATTCGACGCAGATGCTCAGACTCGTCAGGAGGTCCAAGTTTGCCAACTGCCACAAGACGCATTGAGTCTTATCTCAGTTTTTTATCGTTTTACAATACATCACTAGTTTTCGTGTACCACAGTCTTTTGTTTTATGATTGCATCGTTATGAATAGCTGAGAAACTCTGCTTATGGTTTACATACCAGAAAGGTCTACACTGCTGGCCCAATGGCTAAAAGCGTACACATTCAAGTTCGAGGAGGCACGGTTAAATAGAATCCGATCCGGACGAAACTTTGCATATGATGTTTTTATGCTATATGGAACCATAAAATGAACTGCCTTTTTGCTTTTTCAAAAAATCAGAAAATAACTGTCGCCCTATTACCCAATGTAAATACAAATGACCCGATGTGACCCGTTGTGACACTTAATTACCCGTTGTTACCCTCAGGGTCGTCTGGCCGAGTTCTCCGGCGGCGCCGTGACCATCCTTGGAGACCAGAGGCGCCTCTCAGTAGACCGTCACAGCTGGTCACTCACCATCTCACCGGCCCAGGCCGACGACAGTGGTCACTACAGCTGCTCATTCAACAGTCAGCCCTCGGAGCGTCGCGTCGTGCTGGTGGTGCTAGGTGAGTGTTGGACCCTCCCCTCCCTTTCCCTGCCTCCTACTCACCCCAGCTACCCTCCCACAATGGACCGCCAAACTGTAAAGCCCTCGTTAGCCGTTAGTTTAGCTGGGTCATTAGCTCCTTTATGCTAGCGCAGAATGTGTCAAATTGTACCCGATATGAGTCAATGCCTAACACGTTTGGAGTTAGGATAGTGAATACGGCCTCATCCATAAACAAACATTTGCGCGCGCGCGGGAGCCTGAAATATGGCGCCGAAAGCGCGACTGGTGCCGTGTTCTGGTGAGAACTTCTGAATAATAGCAGGCACCGCTCGGAATAATCCATCTGTGGCCGCGGCAACGCGGGTCCGGACTCCGGCGAGCGGCCCCCGCCACCACCCGACATCGATCGATTTCAACGCGGCACCACGTTAAAGGAAAGTCAGCGGCGGAATTTACGGCGACGACGCCAAACGCTCCAGTGGAAAATTCGGCGTCAGACTCAGCCATAATCAGCCATTAATTTTTCACCTAATCAGATGCCGTGCTGGGCCTGTGCGCTGACCTCCCAGGCGGCGCTGCGCGACGGGAGCAAGTTATCTGTCGAGTTCAGCCGTCGGGGGCCGAGGGGGGGGGGGGGCGGACGGGGGCGGGGCGCCATGCCGCGCCTGGTCTCGATAATATACCGATTCATTTCAGCTGCGGCCATGCCCAAGTGGCAGTGCGGTGGAAACCGATGAATAATGCCCTTATGGCACGAGCCAGTGTTGGCAAAGTTGGCCGCTCCCAGCTGTGGGCTGCGGCGCTGCCCATGGAGAAGCCTTTTCCGTTAACTCTGCCTCTGCTGTCTCTGCCTCTGTCTCTGCCCCTGTCTCTGCCTCTGTCTCTGTCTCTGTCTATGTCTCTGTCTCTGTATCTCTCTCTTTCTCTATCCTCTCTCTCTCTTCTCTCTCTCTCTCTCTCTCTCTCTCTCTCTCTCTCTTTCTCTCTCTCTCTCTCTC